GTCTTAGAGGTTCCCAAACTTATTTGGCCTACTGCTCCCTTTTCAGAAAAAAATTATGCAGCCCCCCACCCCCCAAAATCTACTTTCTTTCTTTAGAGTTTTTTTGAAATTTATGTCATTTCAAAAAGATATAAAACTTTTTTAAAAAAATGATGCATCTTAAAGTTTAATGATTTATTGTAAATTTGTGGGGTTTTTCCTGCATTGAAATTTTGATGGTGCAATGTTGCATCATTTAACCATATGATGTTTATTGTAATCAAGTCATTACACGCACATATTCCTGCCGATGTATGCTGGACTTCCCAACAATGTGCGACACACTTGCCTGCCAACACTTGCTTGTTAAGACCTGTCAGTGCACTTGACCACTAATTGGGTTATAGCTTGCATTTTGTGTATTTATTTGGAAAATAATGTAATCACTACGACTTTAACTCTGTTACACAACAGATGAAACATGTACAAATGGTTTTTCAAAATTTTGTTATCTTCTCTTCTTTCCTTATGCTTCCACCACCCCCTTATTTTTATTCAATGTTCCCTAATACACTGGAGGCTACTATCACCACCGCCCCATTGTTCCAGTGGGGACCCCTCCCCACAGAGGGGTATATTACTCACTTTGGGAACCTATGGCCAACCATTAAAATAATAATAACAGTTAGCACAAATATAGCACTTAAAGGTTGGCAAAGTGCTTTACAAATATTTATCCACACAATGACCCTAGTTCTATTATTATCATCCTCATTTTACAGTTGAGGAAACTGAGGCAGAAGTTAAGGGTCACAGGCCTAGGATCACACAACTAGGAAGTATCTGATGTGGATTTGAATTCAGATCTTCCTAACTTAAGTCCAACATTATCCACTTTGCCTCACTACTTTACTACCTCACTAATCTCTATTCTGTTTTTGATGGCTCTTTGGTTGTTGGGAAGTTTTTCCTCACATCAAGTCTAAATCTAACTATTTTCAGGGTGGCTAGGTAACTCAGTGGATAGAGCCCTGGTATCAGGAGGACTTGAGTTCAAAATCAGCTTCAGACACTTACCAGCCATGTGACCCTGGGCAAGTCACTTAACCCTGCAACTTCTGCCCTTTGTTCCTTGTTCAGCCAAGTTTGGATTCCAGCAGAAAAGGCTAATCTCTTTATAAACAACAGCATTTAACATTAATATTATATTGTATATAATATAAAATATAATAATATTTTAAAAAATACTTGAGAGCTCTCAACCTGCTTAGACTTTTTGGATTAAAGTTAGCATTGTTTTCAGATCCATAGAATGGATTTAAACCTGTATAACATTGTTTCTTACATCTTAGTGCCTTGTCCCTAATTTTTGTTTCCTGTCAACAAGAAAAAGAAAGAGAAAACATTTTTTTTGGTGCATATTGTCTATTTAAAAAGCAAGATCCACAATTTGCAACCAAAAACAAAGCAACTAGTAATTGGTTCTCAGAGGTTTGTTTGTTTGTTTGTTTGTTTGTTTGTTTTTTAATCAACTTAGCCTGACTACAGAGGACTTAAGTCTCTTGTTATCACCCGTCCTCCCTGGACCCTCAAAGAATTCAAGACTTACATTTTGCTGAGAATAAAAATCATTTATCTATCTGTGAAGGGGAGGGGCTGACTTAGAAGATTGGGAATGGGGTAATGGGATATATACAAATATTAATATCATTTGGAATTAATTATTTGTTACAAAAGAGGAGTGTAGATAAGGGAGGATCTGCTTAACCGGATGCTATTGACCCCATTTAATTATCTTCTGAGATGCCTGAATTGTCTTGAGAAACATGGATTACAGCATTGGACTAGAAGTCAAGAAACAAGGACTATTGTTATAGTGACTATTTTGAGTGAATCACAGTAATCTATCCCAGTTTCCCCACAATGAAAAGAAATCATAATATTCTCACTTCTTCATACTATCTCTGAATCAATCAATTAAAACATAAAACTTCTACTGTGTGCTGGTCGTTGTGCTAAGTAAACACTGGTCTCCTTGCTACTTAAAAGTGTATTTAAGGATAAATGAGTGAATAACATTGAACTACTTACACTGAAAATATCAACTATATTCAAGGTGGTAGTATTGATGTAGGATTTGCTTGAAAGTAGTTATTTTAGGGGCAGCTAGGTGGCGCAGTGGATAGAGCACCAGCCCTGAAGTCAGGAGGACCTGAGTTCAAATCAGGCCTCAGACCAAACACTTGACACTTATTAGCTGTGTGACCCTGGGCAAGTCACTTAACCCCAATTGCCTAAAAGCAAAAAAAAAAAAAAGTAGTTATTTTATTCATCATTTTAATCCAGTATATGAAACATCAAATGTAGAAAAAAATAGGATCCTTATTATAGGCATCTATTGGTAAAATATTAAGGCAGCATGATACATCAAAGAGCACTGGATTGGGAGTTGGGAAGATATTCCCTATCTGACATAGAGATATATCTAGAGCACCGGCCCTGAATTCAGGAGAACCTGAGTTCAAATCCGGCCTCAGACCAAACACTTGACACTTACTAGCTGTGCGACCCTGGGCAAGTCACTTAACCCCAATTGCCTAAAAAAAAAAAGAGAGAGAGAGAGATCTATGTCTATCTGTGAAAATAATATAGGACCTACCTCCCTGGGTTGTTGTGAGGCTTCTATGAGACAATGTCTGTAAAAAGCACTGCAGACTTTAGCACTGTATAAATGTAAGTTGTTTCTAGGTGGCACAGCAGATAGAGTGCTGGACATGGAATCAGGAAGACCTGAATTCAAATCTAGCCTCAGACACTTACTAGCTGTGTGACCCTGAGCAGTTTACTTACTTTGCTTCCTTATCTGTAAAATGGAGATAATAATGATAATCACCTATAGGTAGTAGGTGCTATTCAGAATAAAATGAGATATTTCTTAAATGCTTTGCAAACCTTAATATTATATAAATGCTAGCTGTTCACTTCACCTCCTTGTGCCTCAGTTTCCTTGTCTGTAAAAGGAGAGTGTTGGACTAGATGACCACTGAGGTTTCTTTAAGCTTTTTATCCATACAGCATTCCTCAGAGATATTGTGGGTTCAGTTCCAGACACTGCAATACAGAGAATGTCACAATAAAGAAAGTCACAAATTTTTTGGTTTCCCAGTGCATATAAAAGTTAGGTTTACATTATACTTTAGTCTGTTAAATGTGCAATAGTATTATGTCTAAAAAACAATGTATATACCTTAATTTCAAAAATATTTTAAGGCTGAAAAAATGCTAACCATCATCTGAGCCTTCAGTGAGTCATATTCTTTTTGCTGGTGGAGGATCTTGCCTCCATGTTGATGGCTGCTGACTGATAAGGGTAGGGGTGGCTGTGGCAGTTTCTTAAAATAAGACAATAATGAAGTTTGCCACATTAATTGACCCTTCCAAATGTTGAAAGATTTCTCTGCAGCATATAATGCTACTTGATAGCATTTTACCTGCAGTAGAACTTCTTTCAGATTTGGAGTCAGTCCTTAACTGTATTACTACTTTATCAACTAAGTTTATGTAATATTCTTCAATGTTGTTGTGTCTCATGGAATAGAAAGGCATGAGAAGAGAGGGAGACAGATGGGGAAATGGCAGGTCGGTGGAGCAGTCAGAACACGTAACATTTATTAAGTTTGGTGTCTTATATGGACATGGTTTGTGGAAACAATTGGAATAATAACATCAAAGATCACAGATCACCATAACATTTATAATAATATTGAAAAAGTTAATATTGTAAGAATTATCACAGCATAACACAGTCACAGTGTGAGCACATATATTGGAAAAATGGTGCCAGTAGATTTGTTTGACTCAGAGTTGACACAAACCATCAACTTGTAAAAAAAAACAAAAACAAAAAACTTCCCACAGTATCTGCAAAGTGCAATAAAACAAGGTATGCCTATAATCAATCCTATGCTTCCTCACTCAGTCAATAAGTTATTACTATTGGCGAGTCCCTGTATTAAATACTGGGGAGGTAGGCAAAAACAAAAACTCCCTGCCCTTAAAAGAGTTTAAATAGTAAGTATTCTCTTCAAACTAAAAATCAGTCAACCAGCATTAAGTGTCTGCTATATGCCAGGGACTGCTAGGTACTAAAGATACAAAGATAAAAAGTGAAATACTCAAAGGGTTTGTATTCCATCCATAGCTGCTTCATCTTCATAGCATTATTTGAAGAACTTCCATTTGTCTCTGATTTGCAGTGAAATAAACTTATATCACAGAGCTATATGAAGATTTCTAAATTTTTCCATTAAGTTGTCAGCAAATCATTGTCAGACTCATTTCACAAATTTGTAAAGTAGCAATGATATTTGTAAATATGTCTATATTGGATGGTTAGTTACCTGCCTGAAGGGAAGAGGTTAAAGTATAAGTCTTTTCTACTTCTGTGATTCCAGAAGAATGAATGTTATTTTAAATGAACAGAAATTGTACTATTTCTTCACCAGCTAAGCTCAACTGTTTTTCTGATCTTGCATTGTTTTATTTTTACGAAGGCCTTATGTTTTTATGTAATATGATATTATTTGCTTATTCAAACCCTTTGTTGTGTACATCATTTTTCAATTTCTTCTTTTCCCTATACAAAAACCCCCAAGTTTTTGGTCCCCCCCCCATATTGATTGCCCTTTGTATTCAGAAATGATTTTTGCTGGCAAATTTTTGTTGATTCATAGGAACCATTTGAATGAAAAGAATTGTAAAATTGTCTAGTCTTTTTTTCACATTTCATAGTGATATAATGGAAAGAACACGTGCTCTGGAGTCTGAGGACCTAGGCCAATATCCCACTCTGATATTACTACTTGTGTGACCTTGGTCCCTTAATTTCCTTGAGCCTCTGTTTCCTCATCTGTAAAGTGAAGGGGCTGGACTAAATGAGCTCCTAGATCTCTTCTGGTTCTAGCTTTATGATACTATGACTAGCTTATTTGATTAACTGCCTTCTTTTTCATCTCTTTCAGAAAAGTTACTTTTGAGAAACAGTGGTTTTTTTTGGATAATGTCATTGGACATAGTTATGGAACTACATTTGAAGTATCCAGTGGTGGGAATCTTCAACCCAAGAAGATGATGGAAGAGATCACTTCAGGTATGTCTTGTTTTTCAGGTATGGGAAATAGTTACTTAAACTTACAAAAGTCAAAAAGATCTTACAAATCAGAGGTTTTTGAAGAATCTGCTGTCTTACTTTGCTTGTAAGATTCTATTTTAAGAAATACCAGATTAGTTTGGGATTGTAGTTTTAAGAACCTCAGCATAGTGTAGTACCAATAATGCTGAATTGGGTGGTAGATTTAGGTTCTAATCCCAGCCTTTCCACTAACTAGCTATATAACCCTGAGTAAAGAACCACACACACGCCCTCCCCCCAGTTGCATCTATAAGACAAGACAGTTTGATCTGATGAACTCATGGAATGGATAGAGGACTGGACTTGGGGTCAAGAAGACCTAAACTGTCTTTAAGGTCCAATTCATCTTTTATTGTTACTGTTCTAATTTGGATGAAGAAATAAGTGTAACTTTTATCAGTGTTTTAAAAGCTAGGTTTTTTTATGCATTATAATTTAATCTCAGAAGCATTAAATTTTAGAGGCATTGTGGTATAGAGCACAGAGATGGTGTCATAGTCAGGAAGTGCTGAGTTCAGATATCATCTTTGACACATACAGGTTATGTGATCCAAGGCAAGTCACTTAACCTCTCTATGGTCCAGGCAACTCTCAGAGACTACAAGTTGCAGAGAAGGTGCTTATATGCATAGGTGAGGAAATTCTTCACCTGTCCTGATGAAATCATAGGTCAAGTTTTTTAAAAGCAACTTTAAATGTGAAAAATTTGTCCTATGAATTAAAAGTTTATAATGTTACTTTAGGACAAGAATATAATGAATCGATCTCTTTCCTTTAGAAACTAAAGAAGCTGGTATTGATAATCGAAATATAGTTGATGATGGAAAGTCTCAGAAACTTACTCAAGATGACATAAAAGCTTTGAAGGACAAGGGCATTAAAGGAGAGGTAATATTGAGAGTTTGCCCAGATATACTTAGGGATTTGCTTGGTTTTTAGTGAATTAAGGCACACAACTTCAGGTGAAGTGTAAGCACTGTTATTGTTATTACCTCTTCTCTTAATAAACATGTAAAGAAATGCCTTCATTTAAAAGTACCAAAGAGAGCTTTTTTCTTCTGTGGGAAACTTAAATGTTTGTTTTATTATTATTGACCCCCACACTTCTTAGCATGGATCTATCCTTGGCCCCCTTTCTCTCTTCTTTCTATCATTTTTTCCCTTAGTAATCTAATCTTCTTCCCTCTTTACGTAAATGAAACCTAATCTACATACCTCTCCCCTGAGTGCCAGTTACTTATTGTCAGCGGCCTACTGGACATTTCCACTTGTCTCTTCCATTGGCATCTCAGATTCATCATGGCTGAAAGAGAGCTCATTCTCTTCCTTTCCAAACCCATCCCTTTTCCAAACTTTACCTTTTTTATGCAGGGCTTCTCTGTTCTTCCAGTCACCCAAATTCATAACCTCATGATCATCCTTGCCTTTTTCTTCTCCTTCACTCCTCTTCTGTACTCAGCTGCCAAGTCTTGTCTTTTCTGGTTCTGCAATATCCCTTGTATCCATTCCCTTTCACCCATTTGCCTGGACCTATTTTAGTAGCTTCTCAGTTGTTCTCCTTGCTTCTACTTTATTCTTTCTAAGACACAGGTCTGACCATGTTGTGCCTTTGCTCAAAAGCTGTCAATAGTTCCCTATTTCCTTTAGAATAAAATACAAATTTCTCTGCCTGTTGAGTACCATCCTTAACCTACTTCCAACATACCTTTCTAGCCATATTTCCCATTATTCCTCCTCATGCACACTTATATTTCTGCCAAACTATTCCCTAAATTCAATTTTCCAGCTTTCACATCTGTGCATTTGCATAGACCATCCACCTTTCTTGGATTGTACTCCCCTTTCATCTCTACTTCTTAAAAGATCAGATGTTGCCTTCTCCATGAAGCCTTCCCTTGTATTCTTATCTCCCTTGCCATTTATTAATGTTCTCTCTCTCTCCTTAAATCATCTTCTATGTACTTATATTTGTGTACATGTTGTAATTTCCCCAGCTTCATGAGGCTTTTGTACGGTGTAATTTTTGTCGTATTTTTGGCATCCAGCACAGTGTCTTTTGTACATTGTTGGTGCTTAATAAATGTTTGTTGTGTCAAATTGAATTAATACTTTGTTTTTTATGAGGTGAGAGGATCCAGAATTAGACCTTTGTAAATGTACTAAAACCCTTTTTCCTTTGTCTAAAAATTTTAACTATTTGGTGTGCGATGTGGAATAACTCTTACTTTTCTTATAGGAAATTGTTCAACAGTTAATTGAAAATAGTACAACATTCCGAGATAAGACAGAATTTGCCCAGGATAAATATATAAAGAAGAAGAAGAAAAAGTAAGAATTGTATTACAAAGTTTCAAGTAGAAATAAGATAGGTTCAAAACATTTGTTCTCTACAAAAGGTGTTTTTTGTGTGTTTTATCTTTAGATATGAAGCAATCATTACTGTTGTGAAGCCATCTACCCGTATTCTTTCAATTATGTATTATGCAAGAGAACCTGGAAAAATTAAGTAAGCTATATTTCCTTTAAAAGTAGAAAACATGGGTAATGGAAAATAGTAGCTTATTATAATAAAGTCATGATTTTGAATAAACTTGGGAATTTGCTTATGTTGTACAAAGTATTTTACCACTTCATGAGTTCTGAGTTCTTTTATCACTTCAAAAATAATTAGTGACCCATTAGCTAGATGTTACATAATAGTACAAAACAAAGTATTTTTTGAAATGTGAGTAACAGTGGTGGAATCATTCTTTTTTCTTTAGCTACATGCGATATGACACACTGGCCCAGATGTTGACCTTGGGAAATATCCATGCTGGCAATAAAATGATTGTAATGGAAACTTGTGCAGGCTTGGTGCTGGGTGCTGTAATGGAGCGGATGGGGGGTAAGAAAGTTCCAGATTTCAAACTGTTCACACTTGAATTTAAGACTAAATATGTTGAATTGTTTTGGCAGCAGGTCTGAATACTGTATGCTGCCTTAATTTCAAAATATTGTTGGAAATGTTTGTGGATTCCTAATTGGAATCAGAAAGTTAGCTACTGTGTCCTCTTCCTCCTGAGGCAGGGTGACTTAAGATGATACCAAATTTAGTTCTAGCCTATTTGAAGCTCTCAGTGAAAACAGACTCCTAAAAACTCCTTGGGAGGTACCATGGAGTGAGCATCTTTTCTATGCCAAGGCCGAATAAGCTTATCATGTTTTCAAGTTGAGATCATTTAATAAAATTTCTTTGTTTCGAATAAGTGGTGGGGGGAAACTTGGCAAAAACTTTTTCTGGGTTTTTTCATATGGAACTCTCAATGGATTACTGTACCTTTATCTTTTAAAGATGTGGTTTCTTTTCTTTCAGGTTTTGGATCAATCATTCAGATGTACCCGGGAGGTGGTCCTGTTCGAGCAGCAACAACTTGTTTTGGATTTCCAAAATCTTTCTTTAATAGTCTTTATGAATTCCCCCTTGGCAAAGTGAACTGTCTTCTAAATGGAACATTTTCTTCCAAAGCTTTGCCTCCAGAGTCCAAAGACAGTATCTCAGTAGAAGAAAACAATGGCACTCTTCTTGATGACCTACAGACTTCTCCAAAGGAGATGGAAGAAAGTATTGTTGAAGTTATAGAAAACAACCATCCTCAACAAGAGACAATGGAAGTTATTTCTCAAGAGCCAGAATACAAGGAGCACAAAGAAAGAGGAAATAAAAAAGACTATGTAAGGGTCCCTCACCTTCTCATGGTGTTGTTTCTCCTCAATTCTCCCTATTCCTTCATTGAAACTGTAAATGTCACAATTATTGGAGAAAACGTTTTTTAATCTTTAAGAGAATTCTGTGATGTAATGGGGGAAAAATCACACACATTGGATTTGGAATCAAGGGACCTAGATTTGAATCTTCCCTTCTGCTTTCTACCTGTGGGACCTTGGGCAGCTCACTTCAGTTCACTGGCCTTCAGTTTCCTTATCCTTAGAGAGTTAGTATCCTTAGAGTGTCTAGTAGAAAAAGCAATGGGCTTGAAGTCAAGAGAGACCTGGGTTCACATCTGACACTTAGTAACCATGTGATAATGGGCAAGTCACCTCTTTAAGTCTGTTTTCTCATCTGTAAAATGACGATAATAACCTACATCACAGGGTTGTTGCAAGGGTCAAATGAGATAATGTATACAAAGCACTTTTCAAACTATAAAGAGCTATACAAATGTCAGAGTTTCTGATTAAAATGAAGGGGTCTAAATTTATGTTTTCTAGCTTTAGATGTATGCTCCATGACCTCTAAGTAGTTTAGCACAGTGCCTGGCACATAGTAGGTACTTAATAAATATTTGTTGACATAACTGTACAGGTTATTTGGATATCTCCTATGCTATACCTCGGTATTTTTATAACTGCTTCCTAAATTACATCTTCCTACTATTGTGGTCTGCCTGAATTGGTAGAGAAAGTTAAAGTGACCCTGGAGTAGATTGGAGATCCAGTGAAATGTCTGGGTCAGCACAGTTGATTGAGTTTTTAAGAAAAAATTTTTATTTTTCAAGATTCAAGAATTGCAAAGAAAACAAGAACAACAGAAGAAAAGACAGATAGAAGCTGCTACTCTATTGAATGAAAGAAATGCAGATGGGTGAGTGTGGGTAATATCACTTGTTGAATGCACATCGCTTATTTACATTAGTCACTAAACTATTCAAGTTCCAGAAAAACAGATGGCTTCTTATATATTTTTGTTTCTTAAAAAATGTCATTCTAGTCATCCTGCCATTTGTTCATCACCGTTATTGCTATTTTATTGCTTTGAATTAGTTACTTTGGCCACAAGAAAATTTAAACTGCTCTCAATTAATTACTTAGCAGTCTGGGTCAACTTTGTCTACTTTTTCTTTCTTTTGACTGTTCCACTTGGGTCCTAGTGATTGCATAGAAGGAGTGATGGTGTGGAAAGAGCACCTTGGTTCAAATCCTAGCTCTACCACTTACTGTGTGTGAGACCTTGGGCAAGTCAGTGAAGATCTTTAGGCCTCGGTAATACTCATCAGTAAAATGAAGAGTGTGGTATAGATGCCCTCTGAGGCCCCTTTCAGTTCTAGGTCTATGATCCTGTGACCCAGTGGGAGTAAAGATTAGTATCCTTATGCACCTGAAGGATATGAGGCTGAACTTAAAAGAAATCAGTCTAGGCATAAGTACAGATTTTAAAAGGCATTATAAGGCTTTTGACATATTACTACAGATAGAGCCTGGGCTAGAGACTGAACTTGTGATTTCAGTGATATAGGGAGCTGCTGGAGTGGAACTTTCACTGTCAAAAGAGACAGTAACTTTCTCTGCAATTTATAGGATTTGAAAGTAAGTCACTTGTCCAGGGACATACAGCTCTTCTGGAGCAGAGTCAGTCTTTGAACTCAGGTGTTCCTGGTTCTAAGGCCAGCACTACCCACTACAGCATACTGCCTCTCACCATATTAACACAGTAGATAAATGAAGCTTATTCTTATTGGGTACATCAGTGCTCTAACCTTGGGTGTTGGAGAAAAGGCTAGTAAAAATTGCATAGACTCCTAGATATTTTGGGGAAGAGGTAGATTTGGTCATCTGCAAGGCCATTTTAAATGGTTTTGAATTAATTTCCAAATGATTTTGAGAAAATCTTCAAAGCTGGTTTCATCTTTAAATAGTGCTTAGAGTTGCCAAATACCAACAGTGGGTACTAAGCCTTAATATTGAGAAAGTAGTAACCCTTGAGGGCAGCTAGGTGGCATAGTGCTTGGAATCAGGAAGACTCATCTTCCTGAGTTCAAATCCAGCCTCAAAAATTTACTAGCTATGTAACCCTGGGCAAGTCATTTAACCCTGTTTGCCTCAGTTTCCTCATCTGTAAAGTGATCCGGAGAAGGAAATGGCAAACCACTCCAGTATCTTTGCTGCAGGATGGGGTCACAGAGAGCTAGACATGACTGAAACGACTGTGCAACAACAAAAAGCAGCCTCTGTTGGTTTGAGTTTCCAGAAAGTTACTTCAATGATTTCTTTTGTGTGTTTATATAATTGAATGTATCTAATAATTTTAAAGTCTTACCAAAATAGCATATTCTCCTTGAAGAGAAAAATAATTTGTCCTTTTTTTTTCCTTTTTTTCAGTTTAATTATAGCCAGTCGATATCACCCAACTCCACTGGCTCTTTCTTTGCTGGAATTTGTTGCTCCTTCAAGGCCTTTTGTTGTCTACTGTCATTATAAAGAGGTAATGCTATATTGGGTTGACGTGGATTTTTCTGTGTGGCTGAGTGAATAATAGAATGCTTAAGATTTGGGATGATGAAAAAGCCTGCTAAATTCTGTTCTTAAATTTCTGTCCAGAAAATATTATTTAAGCTATATGTTTTCTTTATCCTTCAGCCACTGGTAGAGTGCTATACAAAATTAAGAGAAAGAGGAGGAGTTATTAATCTCAGGCTATCAGAAACCTGGCTCAGAAATTACCAGGTATGTATTTAAATAAGTTGTGCTGTGAAATAAGAAAATATATATTGTATTAAATACATAAGTCGTTTCACTTCTGTCTCCACAACTCTTATATCTGACTTCTTTACTCATATGGCTACCCCCCCCCCCCGTTCAGGCTGTTATCACCTCTTTCTTGGACTATTACAGTAGCCTTCTCATCATTCACCCTGCCTCAATACTCTCCCCACTCCAGTCCATCCTACTACACCTTGCTGCCAAAGGGATTTTTTTAAGTGTAGGTCAAATTATGTCACTTCCCTACCCAATAAATTCTAGGAACTGCCTCTTGTCTTTAGTATCAAATATAAGCTCTTTTGTTTGGCTTTTAAAGCCTTTCACAATGACCCTCACCAGCCTTATGACAGAAGGCTTCCCTTCCTGCATTCTGCAGTCCAGCCAAACTGCTTTCTTGCTGTTCTTCATACATTATACTCCATCTCCCACATTCACATTTTTGTCCTGGCTATCCCCTATTCTTGGCGCCTTCTCCTTCCTCTGTTCAAGTATCACCTATGTGAGAACTGTCTTCATCATACTAGCTGTTAGTGCTCTCTTGCCCCAAATTTACCCTGTAATAATATGTACATAATTTTGTATGAAATTTGCTTCTAAAAATGTTTCTCTTCATAAAATATACAGTTCTTGACAGCAGGAACTGTTTCCTTTTTGTCTTTGTATTCCCAGAACCTATTAAGAGTTTCAGACGTACATCAGGTGTTTAATAAATGCTTGTTGATTGATCAAGTATTGTTGAGTGTGCAGTCATTCAGATTTCTGGATTAAATTCTGCATAGTTTAGGAAATTGGCAGTTATTAATTAAGGAGCATTTTAAAATATGAAAGATTTGTTTTTATGAAGCTTTCTGTCTGTAGACCAAATTTGCTTGAACTTTTAAAAAAAATTACAATTAACTGTTTTTGTTTGTGTTAGTAGACACAACCTATACTCAGACATTAGTGAGAATTGAGACTTCTGTCACATCAGTCCTTTTCAGTCCCAGTTATGTGACCACCATCTAACTTCAGACTTTCATCACCTAGGCTATTGCAGTAGCCCCCTCATTGAGTTCCCTGTTTCTGGTCACGTCTCTCTCCCTTTGCCCTTACGATCCATCTTTCACACAACTGCCAAAATAATCTTTTCAAAACATGGGTCACCCTGTAGCACTTGCCTCACCAAACACCTCTTGGGACTGTTTATTGCCATTAAGTTAAAATGCAGCTCGTCAGTTTGGCATTCAAAACACTTCTCAGTCTGGCTCCAGACTCCCTGTCCAGACTTACTTCACATTGCTCCCTACTTGTACTCTGGTCCAGTCACCCTGGTATGTGGGTTGTTCTCTGAATTCACCCTTCTACCTCCCATCTCTGTCCTTCTTTCCAGATTGTACTCCTTCCCTTGCCTTCCATCCTTAGGTTAAAAGGCTTCCTCAAATCAACTCAGGGACCATCTCCTATGAAAAATCTTTTCTTCTCTCCCTGGTTGGTACAGTGCTGTAAGTTTATTGACTTACACAATAAATCTTGCATCTTTAAAAAAAAAATTTTTAACATGCAGCATGTCCTTTTGTTGCAGTCATTTGTTTTACATGATTTAGCATTGAGGTCATGAGATTTTTGACTCATATTCTTTCATTTTTTGTAATGAAACCACTTTTTAAATCATTTTGCATATTGTGTACCTTTGACTAACAGCCCATTTTTCAATGTCCAGCCTTGATTGTGGTTTATAGGTTCTCAGTGTGGTTTAAATCAGATAAGTCCCTATGCCACAGAAGCATATTTATCCCTACCTCTTTGATAAATTTCTTGACTTTCTGTGGGGTATGGAATAATATAAAAAGATAAAGCAGTGTTCTCTCTATAATTAGGAATTTCTATAATTCTGGCATAATGTTACTTCTCATTATATCAGTATATTGTTAGAGTTCATCATTCCCTCAAAAAAGATGAATTTCTAGGCTCACTGAGAATAAAAAAACCCCTAAAACACTCTTTGGGGTAGATGCCTAATGACTAGAATTAGATTGTACACATTTACCTAACTGCTCTTGAGAGTGCTTTAGTATAGTTTCAAATAAAAAAAGTAGCATAAGTAAAGGAATCATTTCTCAGTGTTTAATACTTTAGTCTTTTTATTGTTTTGTCTGTAACAGTAATTTCATCTTCATAACAAAGGTTAGCAGAGAGAGAGAGAGAGTGTGTGTGGCTTAGCACTGTTTTTCCAAACTTGAGGAGCCTTTGCAACACTGTAGAAGGGTTAGGTCCTGATGAAAGTCTTTACTTGTTTTCTGAGGATTAATCAGGCTGTTGTGTAGCGATAGTTTGTCAGTTCTTGATGTTTTTCATTTTTGACCCTCTTTTCCGTTGCTCTTTGGTGTGATTGATTTTATTTCATTGTAGGTTTGAATAATCTTTGAAATTTTTTACTCACCCTGTCAAGTCACTGTGACATATCTTACAGTCATTGATTTTTGCTCTTTTAAGAGCAACAACTTTTATACATTTCCTTGTAGTATTCTACTTTCTTAAACATAATATATTTAAAAAGACAACAGAAAAGATCATGTAGTATGGACTCATCTAATAGGTGGGACTAAAAGGTGGGAAAGTTAGCTCAGTCTCGTTTTATCTATGGTCAGGGTCAGATGTTTTAGCCTAATATCCATAGAAGCATGAAAGCTTGACCATTGCTGTCACAAAATGAAACCATATTAAAATTATCTCACATTCAGGTAATTTACATATCACCTATAGTGCTGTCTACTTTCACAGATTTTCTTGTATTTGCCTATTTGGGCAGATGCTCTTTCCCCATTAAAATGTAAGCTTCTCACGGGGAAAATATTGTTTCCTTTTGTTCGTTTCCTCAACATCTTGCATAGTTCACAGTATATACTTAATTTTTTAAAAGGCAATTGGGGTTAAGTGACTTGCCAGGGTCACATAGCTAGTGTTAAGTGTTTGGTCTGAGGCCGAATTTGAACTCAGGTCCCCCTGACTTCAGGCCCATGCTCTATCCACTGCGCCACCTAGCTGCCCCTATAGTGGGTACTTAATGAGAGTGTGAAAAGCTGTTGAGTTGAACTCAAACAATGTTAATAATAATTCATTTACATAGCATTTTAAAGTTTACAGAGTACTTTTAGTTTTGAGTTTGCTTTATAGTAAAATGTATGGAGGGCAGGTAGGTGGTGCAGTGGATAGAGTGCCAGGCCTAGAGTCAGGAAGACTTATATTTATGAGTTCAAATTTGGCCTCAGACATTTACTAGCTATATGACCTTGGGCAAGTCACTTAACCCTGTTTGCCTCAGTTCCTCATTTATAAAATGAGCTGGAGAAGGAAATGGCAAACCATTTCATTATCTTTGCCAAGAAGACCCAAATGTTGTCACAAAGAGTCCCAATCACACCTGAACAACAAAGTACATTTGGAGACTTCTAAAGTGTCTGCTTCTCTTTAGAGTCATCAGATTTTAGAGCCAGAGGGAATCTTCAAGATATAGGCCAGAGGTTCTTACCTGTTTTTTTTGTGTCATGGACTCCTTTGGCAGTCTGGTAAAGTTTATGTATGGACCCCTTCTCAGAATAATGTTTTTAGAAAGTATGTAGGATTACAGAGGAAACCAATTAGATTGAAATAAAGTTATCAGTATTAAAAAAACAAAAACAAATTCATATTCCTCTTGAAAACTATCCACATACCCATACTCCAGAATTAGAACCCCTGATATAGTCAAATCCCCTTCATTACAAATAGTCCTCATATCTTTTTTAAAAAAGTTTTAATACTTTTAATATTAGTCACATCCTAACATGCCCCACCCTCCTCCACTAACACCATTCCCTTATAGTAGAAAAACAATTAAGCAGTAGTGACTGTTTGCTAGTGTATTCAACATTATTATCCACTTTTAGTATATCAGTTCTGTCCTGAAAAGAATGAAGTATTTTTCACCCTGGGTCTGCTGGAACCAAGGTTACTCAAACCTCACCTAGCTGACTTAAGGGTCATGGAGCCAAAACGAACCTTGAAAATCCATAGGTTATAGAACATTGTAAAAAGCATTTTCCCCTTTTATTACCAAAAAAAAGTAGTCTTCATATTTAAATAACTCAGGACTGCAGTTTTATTAATAATTTTCAAAAGAAGTATAAACTTGGTTTTCTGTGCTTTTCTGTCTTGTGTCCATTTCTAGCTGTATCTTTGGTGTCCCTCATTGAGTGACCTGGACTCTAGAAGTCAGGAGTAATAATTTCATTGCTGATGCTAGCAAGCATTGTGATCTTAAATTATTTAACCCTTCCTGGGCATAGTTTCTATCTACTTGCCTTACAGGGCAGTTTTGAGGAAAGTGCTTTGCAAATCTTAAACTACTGTGTAATTGTGAGTTTTTATTTCTTCATCTGTAGAAGAAACTGGAAATGATTGGATTAGATCATTAAGATTTTTAAATAACTTTCTTCCAAAGGGCATTATGAATAATTTAACACAAAGTTTTAAATGTTACATTCGAATCTTAAATTTGCCTTGTATTAGAAAACCTAACATTTCTCTTTTGGTTAGGTTCTGCCAGATCGAAGTCATCCCAAATTGATGATGAGTGGAGGTGGAGGTTATCTTCTCTCAGGCATCACTGTTGCCAGTGATAAACAAAAATCAGAGTCCTGTGTATTAGAGTTACAAAAGACTGAAGAGCCAACAGCTAAAAAGCGAAAAGTTCAGGAGTCTGACTCAACTCTTGAAGATCTACCTTGATTTTACTTCCAAGGATTCTTTGAATTATCAATTCACATTCTTAACATGCCATTACCAATTTGCTCCTTGGTACCACAAGAGCATGTTTACACAGCCATTCTTGGAAACCTGGATGTGTTAATGTATTTTAAAGAAGCTTTTCCCAGTTAACACCTGGCTATTGGGAAGGAAAAAAAATTCTCCAACCCACTTTATGGACAAAGGTGTCGGATCTACTCTGGCATGAAGGTGCTGGGAAAAGCAAAGCCTTTTGGCATGAAATGGAATTAAGTTCGACTTAACTAAGATCACTTCTGTGTCTTAAAAGTGTGTCAATTAGTGTCTTAAAAATTCAGATAAAATAAGAAAAAGAATCCCAACACATTTTGTATATAAGACTCAACTTGGTTTTAACTAATTGAAAATTCTTTAGTCATATGCACATACATGTGTATTTGAAAGGATTTATGGAAGAAAAGTTTAAGCAATATGGGAGGTTTTATATAATTTGCATACCAAATATTTACTATGTCTCTCCAGTGGTATTATGTACATTTTAAAATTGCATTGGTTTTTATTATTTTTAATATTTGACAACTTGAAGTTGTGAATTTTTGTTTTATTGCTATCTATCATGGTATATGGAAGGGTCGTGGTGGGGTTACTTAGTTTTTGTTAATTTTCAAAAGACTTTCATTCTCCATTTCCAATAAAACTATTCTATTTTTTCTCTCAGTTAAGGGGATTTTTTTGTATATGGTTTTGTTTTTGTTTTTGTTTTCATGAGGGATCTCTTTCTTATAAAGGGGCAAATGGGCCGTCAGTACTTGAGGTGTGACAATAAAATAATGAGACTTTTTCACATGATTTATAAAACTAGTCTCATCTAGTTTCTCACCTCAACCTGATACATTTTAAAGAGTCTTCTGTTTCAAGACTATAAATTAATGTAGTCTGAGGTGTGACAATAAAATAATGAGACTTTTTCACATGATTTATAAAACTAGTCTCATCTAGTTTCTCACCTCAACCTGATACATTTTAAAGAGTCTTCTGTTTCAAGACTATAAATTAATGTAGTCAGTGATGGTCATGATGCCAGTTTGCTGAGCCTTAGCATAATTAGGTAGTTAGATTTTTAAAATTTTTAATAAATTGGCCTTGATTTCATTATTCATTTGCAACTGAAGAAAGGTTTTCAGATTATGCCCAAGACAGATGATTTGTATTCAGAGTTTTTGAATATGTTTGTTGACATGGTGTGGTTATTAATATTTATTCAAATATTAATAATTTATTATTAATGTTATCTTACTGTGAAATTCTCATGGGAAAAAGAGTTAGAGGATATTCATGATCAGCCTTATGTTATTTAAACTAGATCTGTACTTTGTATTCTGATAATGGCAAATGATAATTATTGACAAATACACATCTTGTTATTTTTATCTTAGCCAGCTATGCATTTCATACTGAAACTTAGCTCACAGTAAATCTATGTTTTTCTAATGCCACTATCTGAGTACATTGTGAAACATGGGCTATAATGAACAGAGAAGACATTTGTCTGGTTAGAGATTCCAGTCCTACAAGTATTATTAATTGTCTGCTCTGTGCAAGGTCCTGTGCGACGTAATAAGGGTACAAAGACAAAACAAAATACAGTTCCTGACCTCAAAGAACTTAATTCTACTGGAATGTATTGTTATTGTTAACTTGCAGACATGGTTCATAAATCTAACGGGTGAGATTATAGTAACCTATTACACAATGACTGTCTTTTTAAAATTATTTATTTACTTCTTTTGTAATCATTTATTATCTCTTCCTCCCACTGCTCTCCCTGCTTCCCCAATTGAACAATTAAAAAAGCACGAACAATAAAACATTCATAACAAACGTATCTAGTCCAGCTAAATGATTCCACATGGATCACAGGCAAAAGTTTATGTCTCCTTTTTTCATTTTAAGTCTGTCACATTTCTGGCAAGAGGTGGGTGGCATGTTTCATCTTTAGTGTTCTGGACTAATGGTTTATCATCACACTGGTCATAGTTCTAAAGTCTTGCAAAAGATTTTTACCCTCTCTATGATGTTGTCCTTGTATAAATTCTCTTGGTTCTGCTCATTTCACTTTGCTTCAGTTCAGCTCATAAAGGTCTTCCCAGTTTCCTTTGAAGCTCTCCATTTCAGCATTTGTTATGATACAGTATTTTGCCTTCATATACCATGATTTATCTAGCCATTCCCTAATAGAAGGGTACCCTCTTGGTTTCCACTTTGGGGCTACTACAAAAAGAGATGCTATAAATATTTTTGTTCATACAGATCCTTTTCCTCTTATCTCTTTGGAGTATGGGCTTAGTTTCAAATTGCTTTCCAGAATGGCTGGACCAGTTTACTGCTCTATGAACAATGTACTCTTCTATTTTTTCCAAAGCCCCACCAACATTTGATTTTTAAATTTTTTTTTTTGTGGTCTTTGCCAGTCTGATGGGTGTGAGGTAGAACCTCAGAGTTGCTTTAATATGCATTTCTCAAATTATAGTGATTTGGAACATTTTTTTTCCATATGGTTGTTGATAACTTGGATTTCTTACTTTGAAAACTGCATATTGATACCCTTTCATCTGTTGGGAATGACTGTTCAAAATGATTACATTTTTTTAAAAATAGCAGCTGGTCCAATTTAAGCCTTTGCTATTCATTCCTTATCTAGAACTACTTTCAGCCTGGGATTCATTTATTATCCAGTATTACCACTACTTTTGGGGAGCAAGGCACAGGTAAGTACTAGTGCTTTGAATGTTGATTTTCAACTAAAGCACCGTAGAGCTAACTGGGAAGTATAAAGTAGGAACTGAAATGATTAGTATCAGCAGCAGTTGAAAAATAATCGCTATTTTTCTTGTGTATATGATTTGTGCCATCCTTTTGTATGAATGATGAAGTTAACCATAGGAAAACTGCAGAAATGTAGAAATGTGTAGAGTCCAGGCTACTCATTGTTGTTGTCGTTGTTCAGTTGTTCCAGTCATGTCCTACTCTTTATGACCCCACTGGGGGTGTTCCTGGCAAAGATACTAGAGTGGTTTGCCATTTGCTTCTCCAGCTCATTTTATAGATGAGGAACCAAGGCAAACAGGGTTAAGTGACTTGCCCAGGGTCACACAGGTTAGCTATAGTATATTTAAATAATGGAAATTTGTTTTTTGCTAGGCAGTAGGGTTAAGTGACTTGCCCAGGGTCACACAGCTAAGTGTCAAGTGTCTGAGGCTGGATTTGAACTCAGGTCCTCCTGACTACAGGGCGGATGCTGTATCCACTGCGCAACCTAGCTGCCCATAAATAATGGAAATTTTTTAACCTAACAGTTGCCTGTAGGATGAGTGGATTAGGTGACCTCTGGACCTCTATCTGTCCCTAAGTTTACAAAAACTAGTATTTTGACATTTATGAAATGGTAAGATGTAAAATAGTTAGCAAACTTGTTGGATATGCTTTCTCTGTGATTTTGTCCACTTTGAAGTATGATTTTGGTGCTCTATAAACCTAATACCCTTTTTTTATCTTGAAAGTATTGTCCTAACCCACTTGGGTGACATATATTGACATGAGTATCTGTTGATCAGTCTTTCATTTATTTGGATTGGCTATAGTTGGAAAGCCAGTTCAATTTAATAAATATTTGTTGTTCCGCACCCATTATGTACAGAGTACTGCATTAGGGGGAGTTACAAGGATCTAACTTCAGTAGTAGGACTTAGGAGAGGGATACTTTCCACCTAAGAAAATCTGTCAAGTTGGTTTTTCTTCTTTATTATTAAGTGTTGAGAAAATCAGGACCATAGTTAAGGTTCTAAGTCTCCCCATAGTTTGGGGCAGCGAGGTGGTACAGACGCTGGAGACTGGACCTGTAGTCAGGAAGAACTGAGTTCATACATGACCTCAGCTGTGTGACCCTGGGCAAGTCACTTAACTTCTGTTTGCTTCAGTCTCCTTATCTGTAAATGGGGATAATAATAGCACCCACCTCCCAAGGTTGTGAGAAATAAATAAGATAACGATGCTTAGCACAATACCTGACACATAGTAAGCACTAAATAAATGTTAGCTATTACTCTTATCAATAGTCAGAAATATTTTTTTTATTTTCCTATTATCTGAATGTCTTACTGTGTAGTTGTACAGAGTTAAGAGCGTTGACTTTAGAATTTGCAGACCTGGAAATTTGTAGACTTCAAAGCAGTATGCTTTTGGGGAAGTGACTTAATCCTTCTAAGCCTCAGTATTCTCATCTAAAAAATTTTAATAATATTTCCCGTACCTAACTGACAGTAGATTTTTGACCTTGGGCCATTAATCTCTGAATAGCCTGTTTCCTCATCTCTACTTTAAGTTTGATGTATGCACAGTCTGTCCCTAGAGAATTGTTATAAGACTAAAATGGGGGTATATAAAGTGGTTTATAAATAATAAAGCATCATCTCTTGGAATATAAATTGACTCTGCATTGATGGTGTGGAAAAATGTAGTATTAAACTCTTTTTCACAGGATGTTAGTGGGGTTTTTGGTCTTTTGGGGTGTGTGTGTGGGTGTGGGTGTGTGTTTGTAAGAAGTCTATTTTCCTTGGAATTGAATATAGAACCTGCCATTTCAAGTATCACTATTCCCTTAGTACATGTAGTGGCCACTTTGCTAATAATCACTTTGGTATTTTAACTTGGAGAATAGTGAGTTCTGAAACTTAGCAGATAAATGTTATGCAGCCTTCTCTCTTTAGAAATATGCCTGAGAACTAGGGCTCAGCATCTGATACTTTCCAGGAATACTTTAAAATGAAGATAGAGAGTTTGGGAAGATTTTCTTTCTGGCATGTTCATTTTTAAAATAAGCTAGTGTATGTACAGGAAGAAAAAGATTGCCACGAATAGAATCTGTTGAAGAGGTGGTTGGTTTGTGTTCAGCATGTGTATCATTCTAGAGCAAATGGATAAAAAGTTGGGGATGAATCCAGGGATCCAGGAATTCTAGAAGTCACATTCTCACTACTCCCACCATTATCCCTGAGGCTATTGGATAACAACACACACACACACACACACACACACACATTAAAGTGGGAAAAGAGGCAGAGGAGGATTTAATAATTCTGTTCCATCACTGACAATGAAGGGGACTAAAATATAAGTATTACCTTTTGTTGTTTGGTTAGTTCAGTTGTGTCTGATTCTTCATGACCCCATTTGGGGATTTCTTGGCAAAGATACTGGAGTGATTTGCCATTTCCTTCTCCAGTTCATTTTACAGATGAGGAAACTGAGGCAAACAGGATTAAGTGACTTGTCTAGAGTCACACAGGTAATGTCTGAGGCTAGATTTGAACTCAGGAAGAGGAGTCTTCTTAGTTCCAGGTCTAGCATGCTGTCCATTGTGCCATCTAACTCCCTGAGTGTTAGGATGGTATAACACAGGACTGTGTTAATGAACAGATTCACAGATTAATTGGCACTAGAGGGAAGATGTCGAAGGAAGTTAGCATTCAAGATGATACGAAATGATTGAGCAGAAACTGACTATAATAGGAAGACACAACAATGACAGTTGAATGAACAGCCAAAATGGTAATTTCCTTGAGTGACTCAGCATGGACAACAGAGTGTCCTCAAGGGCTTAGTGCAGCTTTAAGCTATTAAAGCTCAAAACTGCACTAAGCATTTTGGGATACCCTGTAATTGGGAGATCCTGTATTTTCAGAGAGAAATGCTAAAAAAAATTGATCTTAAAATTCCTCCTGCCCTGGTGGAGGGCAATTAGTTTTGGAGTATTACTCTATCACATAAATTGGGCTTTTGCCCAGTCCTTTGCAGGCTTTTTAATCTTTGGACACAAAGTCCCTCCTCCCTTCCACTTAGAGAAAATTAAATGCCCAAAGTCAACTGCTGAAGAATGGCATTAGACACAGATTAGCTTCGAGGTATACTCTCCTCTTCATGCAATCACAAGGGGTGGAATGCCTTGCTATTTATCATTCACATAGCTAGCTTGCAGTATACCAGGAGTCCTGGCTTCTGTATATCCATTAAGTCATTGTCTCCAGAAATTCCAATGTGTTACTTACCTGAGATAAGTAGCTACCACTTGAATGCTAAATGAAACAGACAGTTTTACTCTACTTCAATAATTAGTTATGGGAGCAAGGCCAAGTTAACCTGAGCCTTGGTTGCCTTATGTATAAAATGGGAGAAGTTATAAAACTTCTACTTACTTCATAGTAGTTGTGGAGAAAGCATCTTGTGAAGCTCAGAGCATGATGTAAGTATGTTTTGTTACTTGGATGAAAGGACCGGAATGAAGGGGAAAGGAAGAAGAAATAGAGTCTAGAGGGGGAAAGCAGAAGTTGCTTAGAGTTACTTGTTGAAACTGAGAAGTGTGAGAAGCTAAAGGAAGGAGGAAAAAACAAAAAGGAGAAAGTGTAAGAAAAAATAATTTTAGCTGTAGAAACTTAGGGGGATGGAATGAAAAAAAAATCATCCTTCCAGGGATATACTTATTATCAATTTTCTGGGAGGTACTACAGATTGAGCATGAAAATAGGTGGTGTAGTTCAATCACTGAATCTTCACTTTAACCATTAAATGTCTGTGGCGGGGTGGGGAATCTGCTGCCTCAAGGCCACATGTGGCCTTCTAGGTCCTTGGGTGCAGCCTTTTGACTGAGTCCAAGTTTTACAGAACAAATGAACAAATACTTTTTTTTTTTAGGCAATTGGGGTTAAGTGACTTGCCCAGGGTCACACAGCTAGTAAGTGTTGAGTGTTTGGTCTGAGGCCGGATTTGAACTCAGGTCCTCCTGACTTCAGGGCCGGTGCTCTATCCACTGCACCACCTAGCTGCCCCAACAAATACTTTTATTAAAGGGATTTGTTCTATGAAGTTTGGATTCAGTCGAAAGGCCGCATCCAAGAAGGACTCAAGAACCTAGAGGGCCACATGTGGCCTCCAGGCCACAGGTTCCCCACCCCTGGTCTATGGAGTCCTGATACTTGGTACATAAAATTGTAGGTGGTGCCTTGAGCTATTTCACATGGATCCTGACATGACAGTTAAATACTACCTAATACCTACCAAGCAAGATTATTTTCTGAACTTTTCTTGTTTGTCATTTCAGTCACGTCCAACTCTTTATAATCCTAATTCGGGGTTTTCTTGGCTAAGACACTGGAGTGGTTTGCCATTTTCTTCTTCAGCTCATTTTACAGATGAAGAAACTGAGGTAAACAGGG